GAGAGACAGACAGAGACAGACAGAGAGACAGACAGAGAGACAGAGACAGAGACAGACAGAGAGACAGACAGAGAGACAGACAGAGACAGAGAAAAAGTTCTATAAAACAAACCCACTGCAGAGTTCTGCTGCTAAAGGAGGTTCTACAAGCTGCTGGATCAGAACTTGGAAGCAGTTCTTCCAATCACTAGATTTAGGATGCTATAATAACTCAGTTTGTTTGTGATTATTATTTAAGGTTACATTTAAATCATTTTAGTTTATGCAAAACCCGGGATTTTAAGGATGGTTGAAAAAGAAAAACCATAAAAACAGTTTCTCCAAAACTCTTTACTAGTAATGTCCCAATACCTGTCTTCTTTTAAAGCCTGATACCCAGAACCGATACCATGTTTGTTCCATGAGACTCCACTGTGAACACCTGGCTGTCAATGTGAGCTGTGCAGACGTGTCACTGTTTATAGCCGTACACAGGCTGTGGATGCGACCTGTTAGCATGTGGATTCTGAAGCTGATGAGTCATCAGAGCTGGTTAGGCTTAGGGTTATTTCACTGTTTAATTTCAGCCTCTGGTGGGCTGCTTCTGCACAGCGTGTATTTACAGAACGAGAGCGGCGTGCTGGAGGTAGAACTGACTGAAGCATCGATCCAGTAGCTTTAAAATCAACACGGTCCGACATGCTACCATTATGTCTCTGTGGGTTCTCAGTCATCCAGGACATGGAAATTTAAAAGAACAAAGGGGAAGTAACCCTGTTCTGTAGCTGAAGTCATGGAGCTACAAGATTTAAAGGCACCAGGTTTTTATCAATGTCCTAAATACTTGGACTGATCTGCTCAACCCCACCCACATAAAGTCAKATAAAATGAGACCTGACTGAGGTCAAACATCAGATCTCTAGGCTGGGTTATAGTCGCGCTTTGGGTTGTTGCGCAAGCTCCGCGGAGTGCACGCGCTGCCGAGCCGCGCGCTGTGTGAAAACATAGTTGACGTTCATGTTATCGCTTTTCTTCCGTCACCGACAGACGGCAGTACGGTGCCAAACCAGCGGAAAAGTAGACGGGAAGAGTGTAGAAGAAGAAACGCTTGACGTCACACATAACACATTTACCTCTTTCTCCTAGGGGTGCAATGTTACAGGAAATTCACGGTTCGGGTCGATACTTTAGTCTCATGTTCGATATTTTTTCGATGCAAAAAAGAGAAATTTTCATGCCCATTTTTAACTTGTAATTTATTTATATTAATTAGGAACATTTGTTTAACCTCAAAAGTACAGTTTTTAAATTAAATGTTGCTGAAACAGCAAGTTTCTCAGTGGACCTGCGCTCAAAAATGCAGCCTAGGTGGAGTAGTCGAACACAGATCCACTGATCCTTTAACACAGAGCATCTTCAGAAGACATGTTGATAAAGTAAATTTTTAAAATCTGTATTGTTCCATACAGCACTGTTCGATACGGTTACATGTATTGTTGCACCCCTACTTTCTCCATATTATCTGTTTCTCTGTGCTTCACGATCTGAGAGAGCAACACTGGTTTGTTTCCTCCAGGATCACAAACTGGTCGCAAATATTTTTCCATGTCGTCCGACATGTTAACTCATCTGTCTTTAAAGCTGTTGCTATTTCCTTCCTGGGTTTTGTGCCATCTGGTTGTCTTTATGATCTCTCATGGAGGGATCATACAGATGCCGGTACATTTGGACCTGTTCAGCGAGAGCACCTTCGTGACGAGTGGCACGCAGCCTTTACGGAGTTTGAAAATTTCGGAGGTGCACGACCACACGCCAGGACACAACGCGGGGCCAACGCGCGGGGGCGGGGACGCCGCAATTGCGTAACTTTTGACGCAAACCCCCTCGCACCCTGTGCGTCGCGTCAACTATAACCTAAGCTTATCTGATTTAGTACCAGGCTCTAGGTAAAATAAATGTGTTGTATAATCATTGTGTAATGTTTAAGTTCTAAGTACTTGGTATAGGGGAGTACTCAAACCCAATGGGACCCTCCCTGATTCTTACTAACTTCTACGGTTAGCGGAGCTGTCATGTTGTTTTAAACTAGAAGAAGACAAAATAACTTGTTTTTAGCCTCCACACACAAACTTCATTTCTCATCAGATCCTTCACAGTGTGGCTGAGTCTTACCTGTCCCCTGAGGTTCTATGTTGCCTTTACCATCCAGGTACGCCACATTTACTGACAGGAAACAGGAAACACAGTCAGTGCTCAGACTTTGGTCTCAGCTGAACAGAGAGTGGTGAACTGGTATGAGTGGACCCACCTCGTACCATGGTCTCAGCACAACCTTTAGGAATGTTGGTGGCCAAAGCCAACTCAATCAGGTTGATGTCTCGGTCCTCCACAAAGAAAAGTTCTCCTTCTTTCACTGAACGGAACGGCAGCGCGTCCTGAGACCCGTAGCCACTGATGGCCTGGAACATGWGCAGAAGACAACAGCAGCCCGGTCAGGAGACAGGAAGCTGACTGGATCCACATTCTGCTGACAGGAGAAGGATTACACCTACCTCCACGTTACTCCAGCGCAGAGCTTTGTTAAAGTCCTCCACTGTCAGCTTCCTGCGTTTAGCATGCCTCATGAACTGAGAGCTGCTCTGTTAGGGACACAACACCTGTTACATCTCAACAAAACTACAACAACACAACTCAAGAACTGAGAGCTGCTCTGTTAGGAACACGCAACACCTGTTTTTATTCTTACAGATGATCAGAACAACTAGAGAACCCAGGTTTGTTCTGTTGGCTTTAATCAACTGTGTTTTTAGTGATGTTCAGTTTAATCTTTGTATCAGAACAAAGACAATGTAAAACTGTGAAAGAATTATTAACTACAGGTGCTGGTCATAAAATTAGAATATCATGAAAAAGTAGATTTATTTCAGTAATTCCATTTAAAAAGTGAAACTTGTATATTATATTCATACATTACATACAAACTCATTTATTTCAAATGTTTATTTCGTTTAATTTTGATGATTAC